AGTATTTGCATCTACTAAAATTGCAAAATGGGCATTAATTTTTCATCAGCTTTTGTATCAGACAAGTTATATGCTCAAACGCAGACGTGGTAGTCTTGCATCCCTGTGAACATGACATGACTTTCTAATTGTAGCACAAAATTATTTGTGCAATAGTACTTATTTATGTAATGTAGGGTTTTAATAAGGTAGGATAGAAATCTAACCTTTTAAAACTAAATGAGTAAAGCCAACCAAAAATATCACAGATACTTGATGTGAGTAGCGTTTGCATAACAACATAACATGTTTTTGATAAATCCAACTTCTGCTTATTTCAATAATTAATATAGTAAATTCTGGTATTTTCTACATCTAATATGTAAGAGAATTCATTCTATCTACATGTTTATTACCAAAGCAAAAAGGTCATCTTCCACGCTGGTTGTCTGTGTCAGGTTTCCAGTGGAAGCTCTGTTGTACTCACTGTGATCTAAGGACAATCACATAGGGGAACTATGAAGGTAGAGAGCTGATCACTTTTAAATATGACCAGCTTAAGCTATTTTGGAAACAACATACAAGCTCTAAGGTGCACAAAGCTGCTCTTCAATACAGAAAAGGTAGTAGCAACCTTCGAAACCAAATGTATGTTGGGAACAACCTTTATAATTTCCACTAGGAAGGCAGTGAGATTGATGGAAACAGAGTATTGTCTTACACCTGTAGAATACAGAGTTGTTGGGAACGGAGATAAAGTTGTTGCCTGTATGGCAAGGGTAGAATGATGATTTTAAATACCCAGTGGAGTTGTGATTTATCAGTCAGGAGTGAAACACCAGAAAATGGAGGGATTGTTTTGTGTTCCCTCACTGGCAAGAGAGACATTTTTGTCTGTATCACTTTATTCTGGTTTGAAATGGTTGCTCAGATTAATCTGTGTAGATATTGAAAGGACACTGTGAATGAAGTCTTATGTTCCCAGAAATGCAGAGGCAAGATGTTGATGGTTCTGTTGTCCTATCTCCGCTGCTGACATGGTAAATCTCCCTACAAGTTTTACACTTGCCCAGGCATGGTCTAAACTTATTTAATGTATTTGGAGTTCTCCTTTCAGAGTAAACTCCAACTCCTTGTGTAGTGGGGATAGGAAGGCATGTAAAGACTAAAATAGTTTGTTCTAGGAGGAGTTAATACGTGTTGGTATTGGTTGCTGATTTTTCTGTATAGGCACTAACTCTAAATGACACTGAGAGAATTCAGGGTGGGACTAGAGGCTCTTACTTAAGTTCTCGCACAGTGTTTTGGTGCTGCTTTCAAAATCTGACTTAATTCCTTAAATGGGTGCCCTGCAAGGTAATTGTTCTCTTGGTTGTACAGGAGGTATATTCTTCTCAGAGCAAAATGAGGGTGTCGTTATGTAAAAGAGCTTTTCTTTGGGGATGCTTCAGATAGTTACTGGTTTTTTTACAGGGCTAGATATGCTTATCTTTGGAGGTTTTTATTATTTCAGTGTATATTGCTGCCTCTAAGCAACCATTTTGGTGGTTGATGGTGCCACGTGAGAAATTGATGGGGATAAGGGAGTATTCGAAATTTGTTCATTCAGAAGATGAGTTTACAAATAGGTGGAAGAAACTGATGTCAGAAGTCAGGCTTCTTGTGAAGATAATCAGAATATCATCTGAGTGCCTTAGCTTTACTACCAAAAAGATGCAAAACTTGTCCTTCAAAGCAGAAGGAAAAGGTTACTATATTTTGGGTCTTGGTTCTTAGTGCTATGTCTTACCATATCCAGTTCCATTTACTTCAGAACTTGTGCCAGAGAAAAGGGTTGGAATGGTCCTCTCCAGGGTATAGGATGCAGTAATTCTGTCATCAATGAATTTACTTCCTTTTTAAGAGCATGCCTGTGTACCAGTTTGCGTAGAGACTGTGACTGACAGTGATGGTGGATGACAGTTAGAGATCAGTAAATACGATGAGCTGTTATTAGTTTCTCTTACTCTTTTAATCTTGTACCAATGGCAGAATGTTTTGTCAAAGGAGTTGAATGCTTAACGTGATCATAGCGTTTATCATAACAGCTCAGAAGTGTGTATCAGCGTGTTCATATGCAGCCAAAAAGCTCGCATAATATCTAGCTCAAAAATAACTCAAAAACATGCTTGATTACCTTTCTTCCCCACCTGTATTATATATTAGATGTCCATCAAGGGTAGTCATACAGTGAAGAACCATCATTGGAACAAGCAGACAATCAGAACATAACATTCAGTTCCATTCATTTTCAGTTATGAGCTGCAAAAAAAATAAATGCAAATAGGGAAGAGAATGTATGTAGGCAGAGATAAAGGCAAGTATAATCACACTTAACACTAAAAAAAGCTCTGTCTGACTTATTCACAAAATTCCACCTGTGAAAAACAGTCTTTGCTTGGCTTTCTGACTCCTCTGACATATGATTAAAGCCAGAATTAAGCAGCCCTCATTAGAACTTCAGTGGAATGAATTATACTTAATAAATATATAGTAAGTCTATCTGATATGAATGCCAGCATTGTATACCCTATTATTAACATCCATTTATGTGCATGAATGGCAACTTAAACTAGAATTTCTTAGGCCTATATATTTTCAGTTTTAATGTGCTGCCATTTGTATGTTGCTGTGGCTGGAAACCAACGTAGCACTGACAAGAGCAGCTCGCTACCAAATCTCTGGCATACCACAAGGGCAGTGGTGACTCTGGGCTTTGGTACCAACAGGACTAATGGTGAAAGGAAATAGGAAACATAAAAGCATCAAGGCAACTTAAACTTTCTGTGAATAAAGTGCTCCAACTAAAGCTATTTGTGGGGTGGCAGGCTCTCAGGATTGGTAAATTCTGGTAAAACTATGGTACAGCTAGAAATACTTGCCACTGAGATGTTTACTGTGTGTTTGATAGGAAACACTGATTTAAGTTGCATCTTTATAATATATTTTTATGTAAGGTTTTGACTTAAAGCAGTGGTAAAGTAAAAGTATACTGGCTTTGATTGGCTCCTGTCATTTCCTGAGTGCTCCTCTTTAATGATAGAACAAACTCTCCAAATATAAATATGAAAAGCATGTATCATTTCTGTAGGATCATTAGAATTTTGGCAGTAGCATCCCATACCTGTTTGGCAAACATTCTCAGGTTTGTTGAGGAGAGAACAGGATCCCTCAAATGAAGTTGTCACTGTGGACTTCCCTCAGCAGCTATGGGAAAAAATCCAGGGTACTTGAGTATGGGCTCTGATTCTGTCAGCGAGTAGTTGTCATTGTCTAAGATAAGAAGTGACCCAAGAGGAGAGTTAGAGAGGCTGGCTGATTTTTTTTTTCCCCCCATATTCCTTCCCTTTGTAAATGTGGATGGTGAATATATCTTAACTGGTTGAGAATTGAATGGCACATTGCAGGAAAAAGTATCTAACTGCTGCCAGGATGAGGGTTCTTACTGGTTGTATGATTTTTGATTTCATTATCAGTAACTTGAGCAAAAGGGAATGTTTGGCTGACACATTTTCTATTGGAAATTAAATCTGGACTATAGAGAACACGATGGCAAATACCATCCGTGTTTTGTGAATTTCACTTAAGTCCTAAGCTTTTTTTTCAGTTGAAAGAAAAATATTTCTTGGTCTTGTGACTAAATGAGCCCTGATTAAAATAAAACTATGTGTTTTAACTAAACTACTTAATAATAAACATTGCCCCATCCTATGTGGGATGCTTATTGGAAGCTTATAAGATATGGATTGACTAGAATACAATTTGGCTGCATATCATATTCTCCTATATAGTCATAGCCAGGACTTCACTGGCAGGTGAAAGGGAAAGGTGTTGTCCCTTAATACCCTGTAAATCAGTGCTACCACTTGCTTTAATGGAGGGATCCCAATTAAGCCCTGTAACCCACTGATTGGTGGATAAAAATAAACATCTGCAGGAAGGTAGTGTAATAAAGTTAATTTTTTAAAGACTCACTATAGAAAGGAAGACTTTGACAAGGAGTTTGAACAATTTTTGTTACCCTAGGATTTTTTTATCATAACAATATGTAAATTATTTTAATGTAGGCTACGAATTTTAAACACTACAATACTCTTATTTCCTTTTTTACAAAGCATTCTGAACAATACAGAGAAAATGAGACCATTTTGAGTTGCAAATTAATCCCTTTTGCTAATTGTTCAGCTGTAGAGGTATAATGCCTACAGGATGCTTTAGAATTGAGAGTATGAGCTGATAATGTTCTTCTTGCTAAACTGGGAAGAACAAGTCTACTGTCTTAACACTAACTCCTTGATTTCTGTCTAAAAATGTAGTGAAGTCTACTTCATGCTGCCCTTACAGGCTTTTGTTTAATCTCCTTCAGAGATTTATGCTCCAAAGGTATTATGATGCTTCTTAGCATTGTACTCTAAAGGAAACAGTTACAGTATTTGTATGTAGCAATATTTTGAGAAGAAAGGGAAGTTTTACTATTTTTTTAAGCAATAAATGTGAGCACAGAACAGTGATATAATCAGACCTCAGATTAGATCAGTAACTGTGATTCAAAGGGTTCTGGATCCTGTTAGATTTTAAGAACTCCTGTGGGGTTTTAACTGTTGCCTGAGTTGACTTTTGACTTGAGCGGTGTCAGTGACTCACTGCCAGTTTTTGTCACGAATTGAAGTGTTGAGTATATTTGTACTTAATCTCAGCTGAGGGCATCAGTGTCTCAGAGCTCATGTAAAAACGAGATTCTAGATTTGATGGGTGCAGACACAACTTAGGGACACCAAAGTTAAGCTATGAGTAAACAAAATCAAGCACTTAATGGGAAATAAAAAATTTCTTTTCCTTTTTTTGTTTTCCTTGACAGCAATTTTTGGAAACCTCTTACTGCTATTATTAAGGTTTTCAGTAATTTCCAAGTAGTTCTCAGTTTTAACTGATTATTTATTTCTGATTACAAATCACAATCACATAAAATTGGAACACTTCAGCATCTTGTATCAATCACTGTTGGCAATCCTCTTCAAAACTGTTAGAATAAAGCATCAGCTGGAGCTGTGTGAGGTTAAATGACATAGTTGCTGAAACAATTGTGATTCTACAATTCCAAATAATTTGTCAGAATGGTTGTGTTTCACTGCATTTTGGCAGTGTAGAAATTGACTTTTTGATTATTCTTGTGTCCTCAGATGTAGCTGCCCCTCCTCTGCCCAACTTTATTATCTGCTGTAACAGTTGGTGAGGACAGTGTGAGTCCTGGTGTGTGATATTTTAACTGGTCTTGAAGATGTTTTAGACTTCCTCTGCTGGAGAGAGAATTTCAAAACTCAGTGAAAGTTCTTGACTTTTTTGGGAAGGGATGGAGAGGCATTGCTCTAAAACATGAGGATGCTTGCATTTATATACATATTCACACAACACACACAGACATTTCAAAGTTCTTTCATAATTACAACCTTCCTGAAGAATTACCTTTTAGCAATTTGATAATGTTTTCTGGAATCTGTGTTTAAAAAATACTTCTCCAGAAGTGTATCAAACATGATCTTTTGAGTCATAAATTATTCCTCATTTCCCTCCCCTGGGTGAGGTCTTACAGTTACATGGCAGTTTTAGATTTTTATTTTGAGGGCTTATAATTTTCCTGCAACTGAGAAGACTTTTGTCATAAATTAAAATTAAAAAGACAAATAAGCTCTCTACAAAACGTAGCAAAGGGTATAATTATATTCCCATCATTGTACAGGGGAGACATTTATGAGTACTTTGTGGTTTTTAAGTGAGCTCCTATGCTTGCCTCTTTTAAGAGCAGTTACTTTATAGAACAGCTTCAGGTGTGAGTTTTGTTTTGTTTTTTAACAACCAACTTTTTTTATTTCTGTAATTGTGCTTGAACACTTGTATCTAATGTCACGGTCGTAGGCTGAAATGTCTATGACTTTCCGTCCTATGAAATCACCAAAATATTTATGGTTATCAGCATGATGCTCCAATTATCTTTTAATTTAATGTGGCATTGCTCTTCCCTTTCTAGTTTCTAGGCAGCACCAAGGTCTGTTTCTATTCTTGAAAAATCCAGCTCTTGCCCTCTGAGGCCATTCATCACATCCCACACTCTTCTGTGGCAGCCCATGTTCTCAGTGTGTCATTAAACTGTGCTTTGCCCTTTCTAGATGTTCTAGATCCACTGACTTGCTTTGCTCAGTATTTATTGCTGTTAATGGAATGAAATAGAAGTTTCAGCTGTGAGACCTTGGCGTAAAACTTGTCTGGTATTTTTCCTTCTAGATTTTTTTGCATCTCCACCTGACGCTATGGGAAATACAACTGACCTTTTCTTGTAATATGAAATTATAGAAACATAAGGTTTCACAGGTAAAAATGTATTATGTCTAAACTGCTTCTCTTATGCCTGATCAATAAAGTTGTCCTAAAGTGCCAGCACGGGGTCCTGAATTTATAGGAAAATAGCTGTCCTGATTTCACACTGGCCTGAATACAGAATCTTCAGTTGTTATGTATCAAAACACAGAAACAAAGTTATGCATGTCGGGCTAGCTAGCTGTCATGGTGTAGGCAGCAGCAAATTAGGGGTTAAAAGATTTGATGTTACAGAACAGTACTGGAAGTGAAACATGCTTTTCATAATAAGTATTTTATAGCAGAAAAAAAAAAAAAAAAAGAAGCAAAGACAGCATTTTTTTTGTCCATGAGCATTTTGACTTCAGTTCAAGAGAAACAACGTGACCGATATGTTGTGGCAATTTCTCAGTGACTGCCTGTTTTGATTCTCAAAGTGGCATAGCAATTTAGAAAAGAAATGTTGAGGAAAAGCAACTGCACAGTTGCTGGGGCTTAACCCAGTAAAGGGGCTGGGCTAAGTTGTTTGGGTTTAGGGTTTGAATTTTTATTTCTACTTGGGATAAATGCAGACATATAAACAACATCAGGGTATAGGGTAGTGCAGGACAACTTCATCTTCTTTCAAACATAGTGCAAAACTGTTTGAAGCTGATGGCCAGACTAGTTTCTTACAGTATGTCATCATAAAGCTTTAGATTTTTCTGTTCTGAAAAGAAAGATGACACATAGGGTTGGTTTTTGTGAGTTAATGGGAATTGCATAGGGACTACTTTGTAATTTGGATCTGGATTTAACTAATACTACCTAAATAATGTGAAACACAGCAGAGGCTTTTGCAAAGATCCTCAAGACTTTACTTTTCGCAGTGCTTCCTGGAATAAGAGACTACATGCTTGAAAGCTTGTCAGCGTTTCTTGTGTGGGTTTTCCTCTCTGTGTCTTTATATTTTGCATCTTTTGACTCATAGGCTGCCACAGGTCTGTCAGTATTACTGCTCCCTCTGAAGGGACAATTGTACTTCACCACTGGGTGGGTCAAGCCACTGATCAAGCTACACTCAGCAAAATTCATGTAATAGAATTATTTTACTGAGCTGTAACTTTTGGTTTTAAAAATACTGTGTTTTTTAATGCATATTCTTATGACTGAAAAGAAAAAAACCTTAATGTAAACTTATTCAGTTGCCTCCATGTTTTTGTTTTTTTTTTTTTAGAAGTAGTTCAAGGCAGTTTGGTGTTGACAGTTTTTGGTAAGTCCCAAATGCTTTAAATTCCAGCTTTTTCACAGGTACTTCTGCGATTAAAATAATGCTGTGATGTTTTATGCAGCTCTTCAAAATAGCAGAGAGAGAACTGAAGAGACATGATTTAAGATAAAGAGTGTGACTGAGCAGTAAGAAGTAAGTTTGAATATGTTCCTGTGGCTGTTAAAGAAATTTAAAGATTTGGGGGTTGCTTTATTTTAAGAATCGCTTTGGCTTGATGTTAGTATTCACAGAAGATGCAAAATTACCTAATTTGAAACTGATGTGTGCTACTCAGGGAAGGCAGATCCCAGCAGCCACATGTTAACTCCTCTGATAGTTCCCAAATTCCATGAGATATGATAGTTGGGATGTAGAAATCAGCTCTCCAGATTGCGATCAAAATGTGGTCTTTCTGCTGGGACTGACAACTGAGAAATGTTACAAGCTCTAAGAAGTGAGCTGAGGCCACCAGTTCTTCCCATATGTCACTGAGCTGCTGCCAGAAGTTAATGACTTTTGGCCATTACTGTTCTGAGCTTGCTTTATAATGAGCAAATAGTGACAGTCTACCTATCTCATTAATCCTAGAGCTATGAAAAGTCTTTTTCAGTTTTCTCAGAATTCTTCCATGCCTTCAGCAGAAGCATTTTACTGCTTCCAAAAGGCTGAAGGATGTTTGGGAAACAGACTCCTGGGAGGATGTTTGGTAAGCAGACTTCAGTTCAGTGTGGGTTGTTTTTTTTCAATGTTATACTATGCAACATAACTACAAGTGAGGAAACGTTAGCTTCAGCCAGTGGTTTGGATGAGCAATTACTTATGTTTTCAGTTCTTACTTTTAGAAAGGAAGCTAAAATGATTTAAAAGTAAACTTAGAAACAAACGGGCGGTGTGCATTAGAAACTGGAAAGTGAATCCTTGAGGAAGTCTGTCTTTTTCTAACTTGATCACTCAAATAAGGAAAGTAGATATACTTTTATGGGATAGTATACAACAGGGTACAGAAAGTCATCAATAGTGAAACCAAAACCCAAACTGTTTCTTGCAAGGACTGGAGCTAGATAATTTCCAGCTGTGTTTCTAGACCCGCTCTTACTCCTTTCCCACCATATTTTTCTTTCATTTTGAATGTAATATGAGTGATTTCTTTCCTGTGTGGGAAATAATGATCCAAGCCACTTGTTTACTCTCAGAAGCTGTCCCAGAGGTCCATTTCCACCTTAGACTGTGGTGTAACAAGGGGAGACGGTCTAGGAGACTGCACCCTTTTTGCATCAACTGGTGTATGCTGCTGGGCCAGGGCTCTTTTATGTATTCATCCCCTGTAATAGAGCCTAGTGTGAGTTTGGCCTCGAGTGAATGATCAGTGGGAAGACTTCAGGGCAACAGTTTAGTCTCTATATAAGTCCATGTTGTCATTTAATCAACACGCTTCCATACTGTGCAGTTGCAAAGAAGTCAGAGAAATTATACAAACTGTGCCAGTGTGAATCAGCAGCAACAGAAACACATAGACTCCATCAATTGTAGGACTTTACTTGCCCCTTCTCTGTTCTGCTGATCTTTTTTTTTTTTAATTGCTTTTCTCTCCAACTAACTGATATTGCTTTTAAACACAGTCTTAGTAGCTGAACTTCAGTGTTCCAAGCCTGACTTTTTTAGCTTACATTTGACTTCTGTAATAAGTGGGTCAAAACACAGTTCACTGGAGACAAGTTAGTTTCTTACATCCGTTATTAATAGCTGACATTACTTAATATTTTAGACAAGCTCTCCTTCTCCTACATGCTCTCACATGCTTGCTTTCTTGCTCTCACTTGCCCTCACTGTTGCTCTTCCTATCACTCGTCTGCACTCATTCACGCCCTTGCTCTCTCTCGTGCTCTTTCTCACTTGCTCTTGCTCACTCTTTATTCTTGCTCTCCCCCTTTTGTGCTGCCTCATTCACCCTCATTCTTTATCGTGCTCTCCTGCACACTGTCTTGTACACACTCTCTCTCCATTTCCCCATTACGCTGTCAGAGCCAGACTCCTGGATTCCAGCTGCCTAGAAAATCCTTTAAAATATCTTCTCAATTTATAAGCTTGTAGAGATGCACAGCCACACCAGCTCTGTTGGCCTGTCTCTCATAGGTTCAATTACCTTGTACATATTGTTACAGCAAAATGTTTTTTGGAACAGTGAGAAGTTTTTAACTGGATTGTAGACTGACTCACATTTTACAGTATAAACGCCTGCGTTTTATTCTGTAATTACAGTCCTGGAACACTTTCTATTTCTTCTTACTTCTGTGAACTACAGCTCAGTGTGTAAGCTGTGCATGTGGCTCTTGGCTTTAAGCAGCAGTAGTCAACTTTTCATCAATTTCAGCTGTCTGACATCCATAAAATTGCAGATGGACTTTTGATAGTTTGGTGAGGTTTTTAAGGTCTGAAATTTATTTTCTTTGTTTCTTGTAAGAAAAAACAAATATGAATTTATCTGTTTATTCATACTTTCTTCCCACCTTTGTTTTTACCACTCCAGTAAACAAAATGAAAGAGGCTGAATATTTCTCCATATTTGTCAGAAATCCCTTCCCTTCAAAAACAAGCCATTTTTATTTATTAAAATATTCATACAGTTCAAAGTCACTTGTGTAGGTGTGTTTGGTTCAATTCACTTCATAAAGTAGGCAGTATCTAATTTAATTTGTTTCAGAGAGTATGTTTTAGATGTGAAACTATTCTCAGAAACGGGATACAATTGACTTCTTACATGTCTTTGTTGTTGAAGGAGTACTCAAGACATGCAGTCTTGGATCCCACGCAGTAAAACACATGAAGTGCCACATGAAGAGAAACCACCTGCATTAATATACATCCATGATTATTTTTTCTGCCTGTGATTGTTCATTTAGTATGTACAGGTTTTGTATGCAAGGGGCATACAAAGAAATGAGAGAGTTAAAAAAGGACTTGCAAAATATGAAGAGAAAATTTAGTTGAGGTTAAATATATCCTCAACCTCATGTCATTAAATTAATCTTAAATATTCATTTACAAATGTCACTATTGTAAGTTTATACTTGAAGGTCACAACTTCTAGTCCTTGCTTAAAATCTGGCCATACTCTATGAATGTGCTTAATGCTAAAGTCTTAGGAATAAAGCTTTGGGTTGATTTTCACAGGGTGGGGCTGGATCACTAATAGTAATAAAGGCTGTGCCTTTTGCAATTTATATTGGAAAATACTTTTTTTGTGATGGGCAAGCAAACAAGCTAAACTCATGGTGTCTTTGATTTTAAATATCCCTCTGGTGTAAGAGGTAGTCATACAGTTTCTTTGCCTTTTCTGTCAAAAAGGTCTGTGGAAGTCTCTTGTTCTTGGAGAGCAGGATATCATAAATAACCACATTTCTCCCAGAGAAATTTCTTCCTTCTAACTCTGGTGATCCTGAAGAAACTCCATAGTATACACCAACAGTCCAGCACAGTAATGAGTCTGCTTCCTAAACAAGCCAGCCCTGTAGGTGTTTGCTTGGCTTTTATTTTCGGCATAATCTTTGTTCTAAGCAAATGTAGAATTCATCTGTAATAATGCAGTGTGTATTTAACATACTACAAATATCAGTGAACAACCTTTAATAGGACATAACAGTTGTCAGGATGTGTTGGTAAAGGTTTCCCAGAAGAGACTATATTTCAGCTAGAAAAGGGCAAACCTGCCAACTTATTTTGAGATTAGAAGCACAATCAGTGGGCATGTTCCACCAACTGCACAAAGAGATATTGAAGATAATACTTCATCTTCAGATGAAGCATTGCCCTTTCTCCAAAGTAATATCTAATTATTAATGCTTGCCCAAGAATAGCTGTGCTGCTTCATGCATCTCACCTTTTTAATACCTGCACTTCCAGACTTGGTCTTTAGGATTTGGAACATCTAGCATAACCTTTAGAGTTTAATTTTTGGTATAAATTAGGTAAAGAAAAATCATCTATTAACCATTAGCAATAGAGCTAGCAGGTCACCCTTGACAGTGACTAATAATCTTCAAAGAGAACTCCATAATGAAAAAACAATTGCTGAGACACTAGTGACAGCATATCAGAAAGTTATTAGCACACATCACATTATCACAGCAGAAATAGCAAAATACTCTCCTGTTCAGAGAGTAAAGGATTTTAGAAGATAGCGAAGATGCATTCACAAAGTTTGGCTTTCTCGCTGCACGTGGGGGGTACGGATGAAATGGTTACATAAATCAGAGGACAGAAGGGACACATGGACCCATCACAAACAAGTTTCAGGAGAGCTCTGTCTTCAGTTGGTACTGATGCTTTCTACTGGTAACTTTAGTTGTGCAATGGACTTGGATGAGCAAAGCACTGAAGTTTACAGCAGTTATACAAAGTAAGAGCTCTCCTCATTACTGTGCTCCTGCAGAACTGCATG